ACAGCCATGGATTTTCAGAGCACACCTGCTACTGCAGCTGAAGTGCAGAAGATGCCAAAGAAGCTAAAAATGCTTAAAAGTGCAGTGGTTTGAGTACTTGGAGCCTATCTTCTACCCTTTGGAATAGTATTTTCACTCTCTTCTGTCTATTATTCACCAATTCCTAGCTAAAAGCTAATTTTTTTCCGTTGCTCTTCATTTTATGATGCCATTATTACCTGAGCAGACTGAGTGTAAAATATTATTCCGTACTGATATTGTTCTATATCTCAGCTGTCAGAAAAGTGCAGAGTGGTGCAGCTTCAGACATTACTCCCTCACCTGTGTTTCAGCTTGGAAAAGACTCACAGCTTAATTTGAATCCAGGCTTCCTAAAACTAGAGTTTATACTTGCTTCTTTGTGAAATCAGCTTCCCTGGAGGAGTACAACTCCCAGCTTCATCCAAGAGTGCAATGAGTAGCAAATCCTTCAAGAGAACAAGCAACTGGGATCTCTCTTCACAGAGCAGCCAGCACTGAATCATGCAGTCTGGGACTTGGGAGGAATTCCTACAGACGTCAGCAGGCTTGTTTCCCAGCTGAGGCTGGGACACAAACAGCAGTGGTGTTGGTCAACGTGCTGTTGTTATAGCACCGTTCACGGGAAACAGTGTTGTGCAGCATCAGCAGGAGAGAAGCACCTGTGGTGAGCACACACATAACAGGGATCTTACAAAGGCTCAGTGCTAAAGAATGCAGAGGGTAACTTTGTTTAGTGTATTGGGTGCTGCCCGTGCCCTGTGAGTATCACAAGGGCACCGACCAGCTGCTCACTGCTGACTGATGGACCTGGGCAACAACCTGCAGTGTCAGTGGGATTCTGCCCAGTGCAGCACTTGACGTTAACAGCCTCTATACAACTGAAAAATCATAGTTCATTATTAAAATGCTTCACTCAGAAAACATGAAACAAACTGTTTTCAAGAGTTTGGGAAATACTCATTTTGGGAGGGCTAAATCCCTCGCTGATTTCCACAATACATGTTTCCTTATGAAGGCATTAACTAGTGAGCCCAAGTCCTGTTATATATAATTGCAGACCAACTATTGGAACTACAGAGCTCAAGGCACCAGGATTTCAGCCTAGACAGCATTGTTAGTATTTTTCTGTTCATTTTTTAAAATCCACTCCAAATTCAGGATGCACAAGACTCTCACTACATGCTAAATCTCACAGGTTACCCAACTCTGCAACACTTTTCTAAAGATGTGGTTACAGTAGCTAGAAGGCGAAATAAATAAGTAGGTAATAAATAATAAACATAACAAGTATATTTATCACTGCTAACTAATCCACATACCTCGGAAGTCTCAAAGTTTTTTTCAGCTTGTAAAGAACATATTCAAGAAATAAAACCTGACATTATAACTTAAGAAGGTGCTCCATGAACTAGATTGAAAAGTCACAATTTTCAGACTAAATTACAGATCTAACAGTGTTTTGTTTCATCACCTGATGCCTTGTATGTTAACTCTCAGTCCTCATTTACCTCACCCTTAAACATGTCATACTACATGGGAAGAGAAGTTCCTTTTCCTGCCCCATCCTATTCCAAAACACATTCTTAAAAGTTTCAAGACACAGACTGCAGGAGCAGGTTGTTAAAGATGCTACTAGGGGGTTAATAGAGCTTTAGTCAGGGCAAGGAAAGAAATGGAAAGGGGGGAAAGAAAAAGGAAAAGGGGGGACAGAAATGAGTAAGGAGAAGAAAAAAAAGGGAAAGGGGGAGAAAGAAAAGGGAAAAGAAAGCCCACCTCACCTCTAACCACCACGAAGAACAAAGCAGAGCTAAGGAGTTCAACTGAACTAGAAAGGTTCAGGCCAGTTTTGGACATGCAGAGGCCACAAGTAGTTCCAGTTTTTGCTACTTTTGAAAAAATGGGAACCCCAAGCCTGTGAAAGCTTATCCCCAAAACTATGCCTCATGAAAGGCTCTATTACCATATATATATATATATATACACATATATATATCCATATAAATGCCACTTATGAGGTACTATACAATTTGATTACAATACATGTGAATAAAAATACTTCAGTCATCCAGCATAATTAATGCAATGCTTCTGTTTTCACAGGTGCAGGAATAGATCTGACATCAGTTGCCAATTCTCAGCGAGCAGCAGTAAGGAGAACAGACTGTATTACACTGAAAGCTTTAGGGTCAACAGGGCAAAGTTGTCTTTAGGAAAGGGGGCAAGGAGAGACACTGGAGCAGCTGAGCATCCCAGACTTGGGTCTGCTTAGCAGACATGCTTAGCATTCATTTGTGCTGTAGCCAATGGGGAAATGGTATGGATTAATTCTAGGAGACACAAGGACCAAATCAAAGCTGTAAAGGTACCTCTGACATGGAAAAGAGCAAGAACTCCATCAGGGATCCATAGGATCATCTTATTTATTATGGTGGTAAATGAAGAGTACTCTCAATCCTTTTAAATAAACTTGTCTACAAGGAAAGTGCATGCCTACATATCTTCAAAAAGCTATAAACTCCAAAATCTACTTTTTAAAAATTCTGAAGAATTAAACTCCATGTTTATTGTCTTGTTACTGCATTTAACTGCACATTAATGCAAACTTATTAATAATTACAGTCACACATGTAACTACAATCCTACTAATGAAATTTTAATAAAATTACAAAGAAGTTTTAAGTGGAAACTAAGGAAGGAAATGAAATTAGACAAGGCATAGCAGAGTTCTCCTATGCATTGTAAATTAAATCCCACTAACATACAAGTACAAACACCAAACTCACCTTAAGCAGAGTCCTAGTAATGTCTTGTTCTCTCTGACTGGAGTTTTCATATTGTCCATCTTTCAGTCCTCAGCATCACAATCTCATTGTTCAATGGTAAAGAGCACATTTCTAGAAAGTGACTTCAGCACAAGTCCCTCCCTGAATAGTGTCTTCAAAATTCTATTACAATGGAAACTATACTCTTAGTATTTGTTATTGAAGATAGCCATCACCACCTGCTGTTCTTCTGGCAAACACTCCTGCCCACATAGCTTTTAAAAAACCACCCTTAAACATGTAATTATACGGTCATTCCCGTGACATTCAGGTTCAGCACTTCCAAAAGCCACCAGAGTTAGGAAGGTCCAGCTGATGCACAGCAAAAGTACAATGGCAATGCAAAGGACAAAGTCCTCTTGTCCTAAATCACAACAATAACGTCTCTAAAAGCTTCACAGGGAAAAGGACTTGAACACCCGTTTCTCCCTGAAAAGCACACGGGAAAACGTGAACATGCAATATCACAACATTCATGCTATTGAAGAATAAGATATGCATAAAATAAAACCTTCATACCGTACATGGAAGAGTGAGTTACATTTTGAGGAAGACATTTCTGAAGATTTTTAACAAAAATCAAACCCTCAAATCAGCTCCAACCCATTTAGTACTGGCTAAACAATGACAACATCTCTACTGAACATTTGCATATATTGTGCAGAGCCACCGGTGTTTTAATAATGGCCAGTAAACACCTTTCCAGGAGGGTTGATGGCCCAGCTGATTTTTTGGGGGGCTAAATTCTTGATGGACAAGGGTAGGAAGGTCCTTCAGCCACCTCCCCCCTCTGATGACTCAAAAACTACTGCGTGTGTGTGTGTTGGGAGTGTGCAGTAAACTTAAGCTTCATAAAAAAAGCTTCTGAATAGTTGAGCTAAGACATCACCTTAACTCCAGTCCCCATCTTCAGAAGAAATATCCGACTCCTGAACCATACCCAGGATTTGTATCTCAACAGGCTGGAGAGGGGTGAAATTGTAAACACATGAAAAACACCCTCCAGTCCCATTGGTACATTGCACCAGCCCCACGCACTTGTTTAATACAGCTCATCAAGAAGTGCTCTGGCAGATCCATGAAGTTCTACAACCAAGGTTTTCTTCTTGTTTCAATTCCAGCTCTACATATTGGAAAGCCCATCCCAGTGATATTTTTCAAGATCTGTGGACGAAAGTAATGTGAACCAAGACAAAAAATATTGTTTTAAATTAAATCAGAAAAATAGCTACGCCTGGAAACCCATGTAATATGTGCATTGGAATGTCAGAAATATGGTTTAATAAAAACTGCAGTACAATGCAGACTTGAAAACTTCTAACTACAAGAAAAATGATGCCACTAAACTCCTAATTTTAATCTATTTTTGCAGCCCACTGTCAAGAAGAAAAAAAGTTCCAGGGTAAGAACTAAAAATTTCATTGCAGTAACAATTTTTTATTGCATGTTTAAAATGCGTTTTTAAAAACAAATAGTGCACGCTGGCTTCACTTTAATCTCCTGAAATATGCACTTATGATGGGAAGCCCTGGGGCTACAGATCCATCTATGATGTTTATTAACAAAATATAATCCCAGTACATTTCCCCAGGGGACATTATTTAGTTCCAAAAGATTGTCAACCCTGTACTCTAACACACTTGAATTAGTTGTTTGTGTACACTAAATCCATTTATTTTAAATTTATTTTGTCTACATTTAGTGAAATAAAAACATCGCCCTGTACAATCCACCATCAGCAGTGAGTACAACAGCAAAAATTATTATACAGTTTATACACACTAAAATCTTGTCCTTTTTCCTATAAAGAAACCAGAACAAACCTAATCAATATAGAGTTTAATTCAGAAGAACTCAAATTACAGAAGGGAAAGCCAAAATTATTATGGTCTTTTCTGAGCCCCCAGAAGTTCCTGATTCATGTTGTTGGAACAGTGAGTGCAGCTGGAAGAGTGAAACATGCTCGAGTTGTCTTCTCGGGTCTTCAAAAAATTACCAAGTATTTAAATTAAACATGTCTAGTTAAAGAAACATTTGAAGCAGAGCAATATAAGTGGGAATTTTGCCTCACCACTTGTGGTTTCTTTTAAACCCAACTTATACAATGCGCGAAGTGCTAAGCAACACTACAGAAACACGTTTACATCAACACTGAAGATCTGGGGAAATGAAATTCCAACAATTTTATTTTTTTAAATGAGCTGTATTTTCTAAATTTGTTTTTATTTCTCTGTTTTCATACAGTATTGAAAACAAACGCGGCACATTCACATTTTCCCGAAGAATTGTAAGGATGATCTCTACAGGGATAACGTTGAAAAGCCTGAAGCTCAATCAATTCAGGTTGAAAACTCTCAAAAGGAGTAAAAGGCTTGATCCGAATGGTCTAGAACATGTACTGTAATTTCATAGAAGAGATGGTCGTCTTAATATTAATGATTTAAAAGAACTTCCCAGTTCATGCGAAGAGTATAGTCCAAGAATAAATCAAATTTTCTGAACGCATTTTATGCTACGTAAGTGTATACTTTGCGATCCTCAGGTGTTCGTGCCAAATATTCTCTCTCAATAAGTCCTTCAATACGTTTTTTAATAACAACTGGACTTGGTAAGAATCGGGCCTTCAGCTGCTGAGTTACCTAAAACGTAAAATAAAAGCCAATAATGTAAGATCACAGCGCAAGTAAGATCTTTAAGTATCCTAACAGACCACAATAGTCAGAAAAAAATATATGAAAACAGAGATGGCTACAACTATGAAGCATAAGAGGAAGTCTGCAGACTTCTGACAGTCCCCCAACTTGCTTGCTCATGTTTGGGTATGATTCAAAGCTCTGCAGAGGCGTGGTCACAAACTGAGAATCCTGAAGTTACTGAAAATTACTACTGTCCTGAAGCTGTCTGAACTTAGGAGTTACAAGCAGAAGGATTATTTCTCTCTCTGCTAAGAGCTCAAATCTCTCAAAACTGAACCCAAAAGGCAGTAAAAAGATCAAAGCAGAAAACAATCATGTTAAGCACAGTGTTTTTTTGTTGTCAACTGCTTTTCAAGGGATTTAAAATCATAATAGCACTAAAAGGAGGAAGGGAGATCAGATATACCCATAAGTACATCCCAAAGTGAAGGGTAAGGATTTAGACGTCTTCAGAAAGACAGGGAGAAAAAAAAAGGACAGGTTAACTACAGCATCTCTCAAAGACCTTTCAGAATCCCGTTAGTGAGAGCTGTTTAACTTCAATGAGTTCATAGGAAAAGCAAAAAGAATTCCCAAGTCCATATCCAAACTGTGTACAATCATACCTCTGCTACTAGCACGTTGTGTTGCATCTTCTTTCTAGATTTCATTATCCGAACTATAGCAGCTTCTATCTCATGTTTTCTGTCATCATCTACTTTCTGCCTTGTTTCTTTCCTTTCTGGATCAGATTCTCCTTGTTTGGCAGCAACTTAAAGAAAAGAAAGAGAATGTAAATTATGCTAGCAAAATTAAGATTTATTTCATTGTGTGTTAGCTTCACTGTTTATTTCATCTAGACATCAAGTTATATTTTCCTGAGTTTTGACATTCTTAAAGTTGATTTTTTTTTTTTTTAGGAAAAGCAGCCACAAGAACATATTAACAGTTTCTGGCATATTTTGATAGCAAGTGACAAGATAACAATCTGTTATTTAATTACTAGTATGTTAAAATTTGAACAGTACTCAAATGTTCTTACAGGCACAGGCACCACCAACCCCCATACACTCATGCTCACATTAAATATTTTTCCCTTTAATATAGCAAATAATCAATTGAAGTAGAAAAAGGGTTGAAAATTTACTTCACAAACTAGTAAACACTTTAAAAGTTCATCAGCCAGAAGAAATAGTCCAACTTTATCCTCTCCAACTCAACTATATTATTTGTATTCTGTTCTCTTCTATTTATGTTTTATTTCTGCCCTTAGGTTGAGCTTTTCTTTGCCCTTCACCCAAGCATCATTACAACCAAGCCCTCCTCCTGCACTGATACACCATTTTCCCCCTGCCCTTCTTCACTTAAAAGTCCCAACTATTTATCAGTTTTAAAGAGATAGACACAAGAACTTTTCTGTCTTATGTCAGAAAGATAAACCCACAATTACCTTGTTTGCTCTAAAATCATCTTGAACCCAAACCATATTCCCCATTCACAGACATTTGTGGAGTGGAAATGAAAAGGCAGAATTCTGCTAAAGCTCAGAGAGTTGTCACACAATCTACTTTAATTTGGCTGCTGTGCTCCTGCTCACCAGGAAAAGCCTCCAGAGGTGATAAATGTGTTGCCAGTGCAGTGCTCTGCACGTGTGGGAAGGGGGTCAGGACACCACTCACACAGAGGGGTATGTGCAGGGTCAGCTATGTAGGCACTACTGGGTTTTACCTGCTGCACAGAAGCCCAGCAAGTTCTATTATGTGTAACAAACAGCATGTGAATTACCAATGTTGCACTTAAAACACTCACTTTCACAGTAGTACAGCAACTTATGAGGCAATTTTCCGATTTCTGAATCAATCAGTAGCATAATTTTTATTTTATCATTTGATTTGAATTATTTTTCTTTCAATATTTCCTTTAAGAGATAGTTACAAAGTTTGTAAAGTAAAAGGCTTAACTGACTTCCATACTTTTCTTGGTATTAGAGTTTTCATTTTGATGCAACTAATCATCATCTAAAAACCCCCTGTGTTTCTCTCTTCCTTTTACTTCTATGGACATCAATCCTGCAAAAGATAATTTGAAATTTTAAGGCAGTTTTGGGACTGCAAGAGAGTAGAACATAAAGCTCACTTACCCGTCTGAATCTTGACCCTGTGTAGCTTAGATGTGAACTGATCATTCACTGTAAATATATGACCATTTTCTATTTCTTTTGATTTAGGCTCTTTTGTGAGAACACGTTGTGTTGGTTTGCCACATGCAAGGGACTGTAGGGCTCTAACCAGTTCTCTTTCGGGGATATCAGTTTCTTGTTGAATTTCCTAAAGAAAAATACCTTAATTAGCTTGTGGCTACCACAGAAGTATCATGTTTCGCAAACAACATCAGGGATTGCTTAAATGTCCACCTTCAAGCGTGCAAAATAATACTGTGACAGTTGTGGGGCTTGAAAGGTCAGAACTCATTCAGCAGCAAAGTCTCAGTGTGTACTGTGCAAAACGATCCACCTGCGTCAGTGCAGAGACAGTGAATTTTGTCAAATGAAGAGTCACCATGAGCTGAAGGAAGAATAATGAATAACCAGCTGTTTCATCTCCCTGTGATTTTTGAGAAGGCTGAAAGGATTTGTTAACTGTTCCCAGGGTTTGCTCAACAGGGTGAAACCTTCTAACTAACTAGTGAAGGAAAACATCCATGATGTTCTTGACAATTCCCGACCAAGAGCTGCATAAATGCTATTGCATTCAGCCACTTGAAAATAAGATCTCTACAAATGGAAGCAAACCATGGCTAGTTTCACCATAACATAGAAATACTCTAGATTCATTATACCTCCTTTCTGAATAACCTCGAATAATTTATTTACAGCCCAGATGCCCTTGGCCAGGACTTCTCCAGGTGAAATACAAAAACCCCCATCACAGTGCAGCAAACATGAACTCTGAAGAAGACTGTTTGTAAAAAGATGGACATAACTTGGTGCACCTCTGTCAGTGTTCTTAAAAGCAGCAGTAACAAGTCCAAGTGAAGAACTGTAAAGAACTATAAAGAACTTGTTAAAAGTTCTTTAAACAGCGACCAGAAAAATCAAACTAAGTTCTATCAAATAATGTTATTTCTTGAGTGTACTTGAGTTGTTTTTAAAAATCAACCAAGGAAAAAAATGCTACTTTTCTGTTGTCATTCACCACTGACAATATGCAATAAAAATAATTTGGATGTGCTGGCCTTGACTTGGACTCTATCATGAATTACAGTGCACCTCATACACAACATCTCACCACCAGGTCTCTGTGATGCTGAGGCTCAGACACAACGTGCATTACTTTTCAACTAGACCCAACACTACATATACAGTGATGACTTTACATGAAACTGTTTTTGACATGAGTTCAAAATAACTGGAATGAAATAAAATAAAAGTAGTAAGGTCAAAATTAAAAAATTTCAGAAATTTTGGTACCTCCTGTTTATGGATGATTGGGAAAAAATAAAGGGTTCTTAAGAGTACATTTAGCATAAAGCTTTCAGGAATATTTATACCATTTGAAATAAGTGATGTATATCCACATATCTTAACTATTTGCTAGTATGAAAATGCCTTTTCCCAAGCTGCTCACAGGAAGTTACTATTTCTTCCTTTGTTGCTTTATTTAAAACACTGTTGTCACCTTCACACATTTTTTTTCAGATTCAGCATGAAGCAGTATTAAGAAACCCCCCAAAAAACTATAATCCTTTACATGGTAACAACAAAAAGTCTTACTGAAACGGGTGGATCAGCATAAAATTTAACAAACCAAGGGAATGTGACAGATTTTAGGACTTAGGTAAGTGTAAAGCCTTAAGGCCACAAACCAAACCCAACTTTTTAATGATGTAAAGCCTGTGACATACAGGTTTCCAAACTTTGATTTCTGATCAACAGTTAAAATTAATCCTTTCAAAACTAAATCACTTCTACAAGGGAATATATATATTCTCCTTTTGGTGAAAGTGAATTAAAGAGCCAAAAGGGACCTTCTGAGGGGTTTTGATGCTGGCCATCCCTATATAGACCACTGTGTATTTCTGTTGTTGTACTTCACTCTCTAGCATTTCAACTCGGCCACTAACATGCAAACCATTTGGGTTTCAGAATTTATAACCCAGCCTTAAAGTAAGAACCATGAAGAATTGCACTGCAATATGCTGCCTCAAAAGGAGCCAAAAAGTTGAAGTTGGCTAAAAAAAAAAAAATGTAGCTATGAATGTAAATGGGGATAACAGATGTTCCTGTGCTCTCTCTTTCCTTCAGTCTGTAGCATAACATTTTTCTAAGCATATTTTTAAACAGATATGTGATGTAACAGTGAAAAATGCATACTTCTTCCCCATCTCCAAAAATGACTTCTTTTAAAGGCCACATTAGATTTGGGCACAGGAGCAGTACTAATTACACAATCAGTGCTAAAAATATTACCAAGTGAGCTCTACTGGGAGGCTACCAAAGAAATCCCTCTAGGTATGGAATTGCCTCTGTCCAGTTCTGCACAAGAAAAAAGGTTATTGGAAGGAAAATGTGCAGAAGGAAATCAGAAGGAAAAGCATTATGTAATTTTGTTGAAATAATAAAAAGTATTTTTAGAGTTTTATTTACAGGCTTCAACTTGTATCACTTCCAAAGCAGACATAAGCAAAAGAGGAAACAGATAATCCAGTTTCAAGTACTAATCTCTAATTTTTGTGGAATTATTCAACAACCTAACTTCTACTACAGCCACATTTGTATATCTTGTTTGTTAAACATGAAGAACCAACCTTATTTTTGATGTCATTACAAAAAAATGTGCATTTCACCATTTAAAATACTGAGCTGTAACTTAAACTAACAAAAAAATATATTGAGTATTATATGAGATTTGATAAGAAAAAAATGGATTCTTTGAAATAATTAGCATTCTTTGAAGGCTTGCATGAAGATCCTTCCTTTTCCATTTTAGTTGCATTAACCTAGACCCATAGGGCCACCAGCTATTTTGCATATACAAATAAAATGTTGCTGCTTAGGAGTACAATAAATTCATACTTTTTTTGTGAAGGAATTTCTCTATGATAATCTTTTAAGTTTCCATAGCAATTGATGCATAATTTTTGCATCATCATTATCCCATTTTTCTCTCAATCACATGCCTTAATGGCTGTTAGGATTACTGTGAGGATCTTATCAAGTTTGCAATTAATAATCACACTGAATGCAAAATAAACCATCAAAGTGTGTTCAACTGTGAAGGCAACTTCAAATTAATCTGTTCAGCTGTGAATCTGCAGAAACACTTGTATATCAGTCAGTTTTAGGCTTACACAAGCACACACCACAAGTCAGATCACATGCTGCATTGCAGTGAAAGCACCAGTTTGACATGACAGAGAAGTAATGGTTGCCCAGCACTCAGCACTTAATCATGGTATTCAATTATCAATGAACAAGATAAAATTCATTCTCTTCTTAAGTTTTCATAAGCTTTCCTGGCTGGAGTTAAAGACAACTCCTACACACTTCACCAAAGAAACCAAACCAAACAAATATGCCTCCTTAATGTTTTAGTTACAGTGGGACACAAAGTAAGAGCTTAAGAACTCCCAAACCAGAAATAAACAAAACACACACAACTTAAAAGCAGGTGGACATAGTTCTCTATCATCTGGTCTTAATAAAATAAACTATAACTTAGAGCATGTATTAAATTTTTTTCACTGCTCTACCAAGTATTATTTATTCATATATGGGTGAGGCTCTCCTACTCATAAAGCCTACAATTTGATGGAGTAAGGCAGCCTTCAGCTCAATTTCAAAACCAGCTTCAAGGGAAAAAAAAAGAGCTGTTAAGTCCCCCTCCCTGTTTTTGCTCCCTCATATATTCTGCAGAGAAAGTACTCAAAGCTGTAATGCTCCTGAAGTAGATTTCACAACACACAGGACTTTGTGCTCTAAAATGATGGTTTTCTTAATTTATGAGTAGTTTCTTAAGAGTCTCTTATCAAATCCTCCCTTCCTTAATCCCATCTGAGACTTTCAAAGAAACTTTCTTTATCAAGAGGCTAGAAGTATGCCAAATAAGCTGAAAACAAAATCCAAACAAAAGGCAAATGATTACTATGCACTGCACAGCCAAAGTAGATGAGAAAACCTGGAAATCCACTCTGTTTCAAACTGCACCCATGCTGCTTTTCAAGGCTGCCAGTGCTCTCTTGAAGGGAATATAATGCCTGAAGTGAAACCATTAATTGACATTACCAATACAATGCTCAGATCTCATAGCACAGGATCCTCCTCTGCTTCTAAAGCCACCTTCATCATCCTCCATTAGCTGACACCTCAACCTTTCCCAGCAACACCCTTTTAGTCTCCTTGTTAAGAATCCATCTGGACCTTCCTCATTGTCCTTTCTGGCTAACCAGCTCAGAGAAGGGCTGAAAGTTCTTTGAACCACCCAGCCTGCCAGTTTAAGCAGTCTGGTATTTAAGAAGCCAGGATACAAATCCTTCTCCACCCTTTGGCCTCTAAATGCAGTTTATCGAAGATAAAATGAGGAAATGGAGCCACCTGCTGCATTCCAACTTCAGCTTTTCTACAGCTCGATGGCCTAGAAATAACCACACTCACAACCCTCAAACATTTCTGAAAACTTGTGTTCCCAAATAGGTGCACTGCTAACGATCTGCTTCCTGCATTTATTGGCCTGATCCATACTCAAACAGAACGAGAGCCATCTGATCTTCAACAGTGTATTCCAGAGAACAAGAAAGTGCCTAAAACAGTCATTTAAAATGAGGTAAGACAACCACAACACTTACCTCAAATGTGTATTTTTCTCTGTTGTTAAAGAGCATTAATATCGTCATCTGGAAAGTGGACACTTGCAATATGTGCTTCCGTGTATTTGAGCCAGTTACTTGGGCACCTCCTACGCCAACTTCTGAGCCATCTTCCTATTTTAAAATTCCAAAACTACTATTAGATTATTCTCCACTGAAAAACATTTTACCTTGATAAGATGAAAGTTACACGATGAAAAATTTATCCAGGAGATCAGTCTACACAAGAAATAGAACAGCATATGCCCAGGGGCATAAGCAGAATGTTCCTCCAGTACCTGTCTTGGAACATCAGGGGGATTGAAGTCGGAGGCATCTCCTTAGGTCCTGTGGTCCAGCCATCACTCCAAGCCAAGCCATGTAGAGCCCTCAGTCACAGACTGAGCATTGCCAAGGACAGAGTCTCTACCACCTCTCTGGCCTCTGTTTCAATACTTGCCCACCCTCCAAGTTTTCTTACTCTTATCTTCAAAATTATCAAAGTATTTATCTTACAGTAACACAATTTTAACATTCTCACAAATGTGCATTATTAATACTTTGTTATAAGAATTTTGTTTTTGTTTTGCACTGCCTTCTACATTGCCAATTGTCATGCCACTGCTACCTCTAGAGCTTAGCACTTCAGAACTGGTATGAATCACTAGAAAATTATTTTCTTGCATACATACAAATTAAGCATTGTATTTCAAAAAAACTCTGCTCAGATTCTTGTTTTTGAGAAAATGATGCCTACATTGCTAGCACTCTGCATATGAAAAGCAGGCTAAACTTGGCTTAACAAAAATAACTCTATAAAGAAACAAGTTTCTTTTCACTTTTGAGTCATTTACAGTCAAAAAACTCCAAACACTCAAACCACTGAGGTCCCTTCAAGACCAAATTTACTATTTTTCTACAAGGTAAAAGGTGATCCTGAGCAATGCATTCAAATGAGATTCAGAGAGAAAAAAGAAAAAGTTAAACCAAAACTGCTACAAAGGAAGAATCAGACCATAAGGCTGACAGAAGGCATCTTCTTCTTATATTGATAATGGGTAAGCTCTTATTTTACAAAATTCTGAAGTTATTAAAAATGTGCATTTGCTTACATAGATACAATATTTACACAACCTTGATACCTTACCTTTTTGACAGGCCCATAGAAAGTGGCATTGAGATCTGCAGAACCCATGTGATGCTGGAGTGTCAGCTGTCGCCCACTATGTTTGGCTAAATAAAATCTGTAATATAATTGAAAACAATATGTACTTCACATTTGGTACTGAAAGCTTTTAAATGTTACACAGACTTTTCATATCCATTAAGGACACTCTTAAGAAAAATTTCTTTTTGTTTTTTTTTTTTGTTTTTTTTTTTTCAAAACATTAACTCTTGTTAGAATTTTACTTAAAATCTCCCAAAAACTTGAGCATCGCAATGTGACTGTTGTATTCTCCAGTTTTCACATGAACTGAAGAAAAGAGCATGCCAGCATGTTGCCAGCATACTGCCAACAGTACAACATATCTGTGAAGTTAAATCTAGAAGGTTTCTTCTTAAAACCTCTACCTAAAAATCTGTTTTAACACATACCTTCTAAATATTTCAAAAGCGTGTCTGGGAGCTGGAGGGATGTTACACTTTGGTGTGGCTGACTGGGTAGGCCAGTAACCTGTTGTGAGGACACGCACTGTAAGATCAACACCACCTAATGAGACCTAAGGACAATTGGAAGAAAACATACACCATTTTAAAATAGGACCATGTTTCCTCACTTTTTCTGTTTTGGCACAGAATTTTCATAGACTATGAAAAAATTAGACATATATCTAGAAACATTATTTTTAGGAAGCCAGACAAATAAATTAATTCATCCCTGTAAGAGTAGATGGTACAGCAAAATTCCTCCACATCATTCCCCTCTGGCAGTTAAGAGCACACAGAATTCAACAAAATAAATTCTTAAGCGACAAGAAAATGTCTGTGATCATAAACAGAACTCATGATACGTGTAACAAATCTCTCTGAATAGCTTTTGGATGACATGCAATAAAGCCAGGTTGCATGAAATGTGGCAGTTTCAAAGTAATTCTTTCTAAACTTACTGTGGAAGTAGAGAGTAAGTACTGAATATCTGGTGTTAAATCACACCTCTGGACTGCAATACAAACAGTTACTCACTTCTACACACACCACCTATCCTCTTTCCCTAAAGACAGCTATTACTATAAATATTCAGCACTGGTGAGCAAACATTCCACAAGTGAATGCTTTATTTTACCTATAAACTAGATGCATTAGCAGGTGATAAAGATCCAGCTACCAGTGAGGCATAACCCTCACTAGGTATCTCAACTAAGTTGAGCATTATTTAAACTGTCTATTTTCAGCTCTAGGAGGTATAACCAATATCTTCAAAGAACACACATTAAGGACAAGAAAAAACAGAGCATACAATATCCAACTTATATAAACTCACTACACAGAAACAGAGCACATTATATTTTAGAAGGTCTAAACCTGAACTCAGAAACTTCTATCCAACAGCAGAGAAGCATTTCCATGCACTACGGAAGAGTTTTTGTACTGTGCATGTTGAATGCCTGTGTGCATCAACCACCTTGTGCCCAGGAAACTTCTAAAAAACCTAAACAAATCAATGACAGACTACTCCTACAGAAACCCCTGGGACTGAAAGGAACAATTTGCAGAAGTATGTAAAGATCCAGCTAAGGGTTCTTCTGTAGCCAACACTACTGCCATCCTTCTAATTTCATATCACCAATGTTATGAGGCTCATAAGAGAAGTTCAAACAGCCATTTAGACACAGAAAACTAGTTCATTTGTCAATTATCTAATTAAAAAAAAAAAAGAAGGAGCCTCAACAGCTTTCTTCTAGCCAAAGCACAGGGAAAGGCCATCAGTGCAGACAGGATACAGAAAATATATTTATCTGGAACTGAAGCATCTTAGCTGAGATGGCAACTGTTTCCCAAATTCTTTTGGCCTTAGCCAGACTGGAACACAGCAATAATTTAGAATGCCTCACATCATACATTGTACAGAGCACTGAATCTTTACAGGACTCCAAGAAATGTTTCAGGATCACAGTTGTAGAAATTACTCATAGTCTACGAGCCTGGACCTTCCCTAATGCTGAGCTTTCCACTTACTGCTGGCAAACCAATCATCTACACAGAACTTGGCATTGCTTGTATCTCAGGAAATAGGATCCAGCAGGAAACTTTGCAGGTAGGATTATTTAGAGAAAAGCAGCTGCCTGACTCCTCTAGGAGATGCGGTACACATTCAAGGTACACAAATTGTTTAAAAAGAAGTAGAACAGACTATTCCATATAAAACACAGTATCAACAGCAAGTTAACAGTAACACAACCCCCCCAATCTTCCTGTTTCTATTTCCTCTCAAATATTATTGACCTACAAAGAAATATATATGCTTCTGTCATAAATAAGTACTCCAGAAATTTCATTAAAAGGCCACGATTAGGCTGACCAAAAGGCAACCATCACATCAACTCCTGGTCTCTTGCCAAGAAAAAGATGAAGTTTCAAGTAAGGCCTAGCAGGACATCTGCTAACATTTTAAATTCATCTTATTAGCTGTATGCAGCTAAAAAGAAGATACAGATATCATTTATTAACTCAATCTAAGACTGTCATGTAAAGTACATAAATCTTTAACACAACCCCCACCCCATGTCCGAGTCTGGCATGCTACCTAAAAAACGGGAATGCTCTTACAATTTTTTCTTCAAATTTGTATTGCAAGCATTCTAGAAGGAAAACATGACTAGCCTCTAAAGAAAAAACAAAAGCAGTAGTAAGACTTCCTGTCCACAAACAGTTTTATAACTATCGAAATCCTCTACAACCTTTTCTGAAGCCACTTTGAGAACATGCTGTTCCCTCACTCAGGATGATTCACAGTATGCTGATGAAGAAGATTTCCACTGAGGGCTTCAAGAAGGCAAAGATTTCATATCACCTTGCACAGCCAGGGACATTGGACAGAGTACAGCCACAAACATATTCCTGGCATTCACTTCCAAAACTGATTCAAACATGCTTGATGTATAGATCTACTTACCTGCAGACAGGCCTGTTTATTATATATTATTAAGCTCTACTGTGTATCAGTATTAAAAAAGTGTTTTAGAGCAAGTGAACTGATATCCCAATAGAAGTGATCTCTCCTTTGTGCAGTATTCCAGAGGCCCACTTTTACTATGAGGTGAAATTTTTTCTGAACGAACAACTAAGTCCATATTTGCCATTTGAATAAAATGGCAGCTTTGCTTTTAGCAAAGGCATCGGGGAAGTTAAACATCAGACGGTGCGCTTTGCAAACGCCGTCAGCATGTGATATTTTTCTTGCTGTTAGAAAAAAATTACAAGTCACAATGGAGATCAGCTTTGAAGGAGGAGAATGGAAAGGCTTTGCTGGTGACACAGCAGCCGGGAAGTGCAGCCTGGAGCGGGCAGTTGGCAGCGGAGGGCGGGCACGGCTGGACGGGGCGGGCACAGCTGGACGGGGCGGGCACGGCTGGGCAGAGGCGGGCACCGCTGGGCAGGGGCGGGCACCGCTGG